AGGAACAGAAATTTTCTAATCGTTGGAATATACGTTTGCCTAAACTTCATGATGATGATGAGGCCGTTTGGCGCATTTGCACCCAGTAAGTTAATGGTAGCACTGATCTCCATAGTCAATAGTCATCAGACAATAGTGCTTTATTTTAAACGCTGATTTGACAGCAACTACGTGGCAAACATAGTGTGTAGTACTCTGTCTATTTCGTACAAAATGGCACCCGTTTTTCAGTCCAGAAAGGATGAAAAACGAGTGACAGGAATGGAGCTCGAACAGGCGGCCTCTCACTTCTAAGTCTGATGTTCTACTGTCTTCTAACCTGAGCAGCCTCTCTCTGAAATAAATCACAGCAATATAGGGAAGGTAACATCAGTCCGAAATGGATATACAAGCGCTCTGATATACAGGCGGATGAAAGTTGTGGAGGCTGAGCTCAGCTCGCAACAAGCGAGCTGTAAGTACAGTAAGTAAATGAGCACTTTATCTACAAACCTGAAACTGAAACCAAATGCAGCGCACTGTGATAAAGAAACTGCAGGGAGAAAAATCTTCGGAAAATCTGAATGGTGATGATGCATGGATAACCGTAACAAGAAATGGGTACCTTCGTGAAATCAGGATTCATGGAAGTATGCATTTATTAACTTTCATAATAAAATGTATCTGCACTTTGCTGTTTACAGCTTATAGTTCTTCATATCCGTACCTCTGAAAGCAGTCCGCGCCTGATTAACGATATCTTCCAATTGGTAACTGATCAGATTCCCTCGAGCTTGACGTGTTTTACAATAAGTGCATCGATTCAAACACCTAAATGGAGGCAAGGTCGATTATGAGCATAAAAAATTAATGAACAATTTTAAGTATGTGATTAGGTCATAATTTCGAAGAAAGTTGTAAGTAAGTCCATGTAACTGATTCTAAGATAAAGCTGACGAAATTCATTAAATTATACAACCATTTTCCAAAAAACCGTTGACAAGCTGTGTTATCGCTCTAAAACCAGAGCTAGATTACGAACAACCTTGCATTTCAGGGTCTCGACATCATTAATTCAGAAATGAAAGCAAAAAAATGACAGTTGTAACTGTTGGAATGTTGATCTTCTTTCCATTTTGAAAACGAGATCATTTCTGGCGCCTTTCTTTTCATAAAGTTAGCGAGTGGGTGTCGATCACTATTTTCACGCCATCATATTAGAATGCCGTTTTTAAAGGCATAGCCAACAATAGCTATTTAACAAATATTCTTAAGTCACCAGTTTCCTTCCCATACAGTGGAACTCATTCGCTAGAGTTTGAAGGAAAAATCCGGGGATCAGAACCAGAGTCGCTCGGTTTTGACGCTCTGACGACAAAAAAAACTCGTTCCTAAATGTGGGACTGGTTCGAATTTTTAGTTTTCCATGGCGGAGAGAGCCATAAATTCTCATTTAAAAAATGAAACAAAATCTTGCTTCAAAAGCGAAAACCGTTTCTGGAAAAAACGAACATCAGGACAGAAGTATTAAAACTTGTTAAAAAGCAGGAGCGAGCGTCACACGGACTTAACTGTGGCGTTTCTTGCAAGCGA